GATGTGTATAAGAGACACACACACACACACACACACACATTCCTATATGCAACGGTTTGCAGATGAAACTAGAGTCCGTTGGCAATGGAACATTAACTAATTACCTTAAACTGGCAGTCCTGGCATTTCTGTAGCTTCCCCGATTCAGTCATCGCTATTCAGCGATCGGGAGGCGGAGACAGATTATGTTAGTTAGCGTGCGATTTAATTAAGTCTCTCTGACGCGGTGTTAGCGAAGATCAATGACAAGATAAGTTAACCACGAAGTTTGGCTTATTTCCAATCATACTGACGAGATGTATAACCTATTGATGACAGAGCTTTTACAAATACCTAATAACATGATCTTAATAAAAGGAACGATAAATTAGTTCGATAGAAGTGTATTATTGCGAAATTAGTGCCATATTATAATTAGGTTTAATTTTTACTTCATTTAATAAATATTTCCTTTATAAAAAACACAAACACACACACACACACACACTTTACCGAAATGAGGTTTATTAATCACTTTTGGAGTGATAAAGTTAGTTAAATTATTACATTCGCGAGATAGGCCAATGATATATAGGTCATAGCAGGATCTAATTCATTAAAATTTCATGTGAAATGTATATACATTTTTCTAGTTCTACAAATAAATTGATAATTAATTTAATAATACGCTTATAAGATCTTATTGTATAAGATTCTTGCCTCTCCCCAACGTGATACGAGAATTTAATACTGTGATATTACTATTCTGATTCAATTAAGAACTGCGTCCAGACCAAAAGTATCGACACGCAGTTTGTAGAACTAAAAAATATAAAAATATAAAAATATAAAAAGTATATAAAAATTACATGAAATTTTAGTGAGCATCAAGATCCTGCTATGACCGTCATGATCTATTTTATGAATGATTTTATTTCGTGAATTTAATTGTGTTAAATATTATATGCGGTCGGGTATATACATATATATATATATACCCGCAATAGCATAATTATTAAATTATATTTTAATAATTATTTAAACAAGTCTAAATAAAAATCTATTACATTCGGATATTAATACCGATTATGTCTATAATAGAATGATTCGATAGACTCAATATGTATTACCATTTTTTCACCATTACAGAATGCTTGATACAATGAGTAAATAGAATGTAAAATATCTTCCCGCGAGATGAAAGTCAGCCTTTCTTTTTCCAAAGAAAATGGCAAAAATTGGAAGATTACGGAGCTTTCGCAAAAAACGCGATGCGTCTTATGTATGCCGATGCACGGTTGCAAATTCTAGGTTGAGCTGCGAGATTCTTCGCCGGAGGACGGTAATCCGTAGACGTAGCTACGGATAGTCCCGCGAGCGAGACTGCGTCGATACGTCGCGGTAACGATTTCTATTACAAAACGGATTTCTCATGCATCACCGTGTCACATTGGTCTCCCGCCGGGCGTGCCGTAAGCTCCTTTCCGCCGCGCGCACTTCTTCCGAGACTCTCGATCTCTCGTCTAGTGGTAGATAGACGCCGGCGACGGCGATGCAACGCGTCTCCGTAGTGTATCAGTTGCACTCGAGGCGCGACGAAAAATCGACACGCGGCAGCGCGTGATCTCGAGAATAGAGAGAAAAAGAGAGAGTGAGAGAGAGATGGAGGGGAAGAGGAAAACGGAGAGAGAGAGAGAGGAGACGGTCAGATCGAAACGCGAAACGGCTAAAGTGATTGCACGCCAACCACCTTTCTCCGACTCTACACCCCCGTTCCTTCCTCTCTCTCTCTCTCTCTCTTTCTCTCTCTCTACATCCGTTCTGCCCTTCGTTCTTCGACGATGTACGCGTCGTCGTGTCTCCGATATCGTACCGTAGTTCGATCGTAAATCAAAACGCAGCCCTGCCAGGAACGAAGGTACCAAACAAAATCCATAAATTTCCGCTCTACTGCGCCCGTGGTGGTTTCCGTCAGAAGTTCTCCAAGTTCCGAAAGTAGTATTTCTGGTGCCCGTGTTGCTCCCCGACCTCCGAGAACAGAGGTGTGTGCGTAAATAATCTAGAGATGAGGGGTTAAGGGTATACCAAAGGTACAGATTTGAAGAGACAGGGCTGAGTATGTATGTCTTGTTGTGAGAATCATCAGCGACACAAGCAAGGGCATTTACTAAAGAATTCAGTAAGGGATCGGAAGTCGAGCTATATGATAAAGTCAACGACGAAATATTTCTTTTGCTGCAATTGTTGCGATAATTGTTGTGATTAATAACGAAATTTGTAATCGTTATTAAAAAATTATTATTGTCTCGAGCGGCGTGATTTATCTCAGGATAAGGTTTTATTACAAAAGATTGACATTTGCAAAATAATTGTACAAGTTGTTTTCGGGAAGAATCTGCGCCGCGTAACCGCGTTTGTTTCTTTTTATTAATTTCGAAAATTCAATGTATACGTATGAGATTTACCAACAAAATGACATATCTCATTTTTTTAATACACACTATTCGATTGTAGAAACTGAAGTCCTTTTTGTTGTTTTTCGTTTATCATAATTTGAAAATAATTAAATTTCGTCTCTGACAAACAATTCCCAAACGCAAACGTCGAGAAATATATAAATAAGAAGCAGATGACAAAGAACACTGCCATTTATCGCGACTTGTAGAGAGCCGGCGAAAAGAGGGGTGCAGCAACTGCAGGCAACTCGGATTCAGCGCGAGAAAACATTTAGCGGAAGCTGTGAATCAGATTCGCGAGTAGCTCCCGAGTTTCCTCGTCGCGGACCGTAAGCTCGTCCGTTTTCGTATAAAAAAGCACCGAGGTGATGCACTACGTTCTTCCTCGAGCGATGCTCAGGACGGAGATTCGGATAAGAAATCGGGCTAATAGGGTATCAGTGGATGCTTCCCCGGCGGCATTAAGGCGATCCCCCAGCTCTGAAACCTGAATGCTGTTCGCACGAGTCCGCCACACGTACGACCATTTCCGCCTCACACCATCCAACGGAGGATTTGTACCGCGTCGTTTCTCGTCGAAGACGAGGGTAATCGAACGGCGTTTCCACCATCGAAAGCGATATTACCGGTAGTCCGTGATGCAGTGCCGGTCGTTCGAGGAATTGGCCACGAACGGTCGTTTTCCCGGAGCGTGCGAAATTAGGTCGGTCTACGCGCGTCCGTACGAAAGTCACGATGATCTGGGGCGGAACGGAAATTGGCCGCGTTGGTGACCGGTGCTCTCTTTCGCTCTCTTTCTCTCTCTCTCTCTCTCTCTCTCCTCCTTTTCGTGGATATGCCACGAGTGTCCGATTTCTCCAGAATCAAGTGTGCGGAACTTTATAAGAATAGATATAGGTAGCTCCCGTCCCCCAAAACTCTCGCCGACACGCGGCGCTCTCGCAAAATGTAAACGGGAATGCCAGAAAGTACCGAATTTCCAAATACATATATCGCGAATAACTGATTTCTGCTTGTATATCGGATTTCTTTTATTATAAGCGTATATTATTGTTGCTACGAGCCAGACTTTTTATCGAAGAAACATCTAGGGCCATAGCAATACGCACGCCCGACGCAGGTCTGACATTACGGAAATTGATGGTCCAAGTTAGATCGTACAATATTCTAGTCTGCGCACACATATTATCTTAATTTGAAAAGTTTTTCAACGATTGCCCCATTCGTCGTTTATGGATCTTCCAACTTACCAATCCAATTTCAAATCTGATTTATTTCATTTCTTCCGATATCTCTCATTATAGAAATTGTAATAATCATATATAAATTTTTTGTTTCGCGAAAATCGATGGTCTTTCTGTATAAAATATTATATGTGTTTTACAATTATTATACAATACATTAATTCTTAATTAAAATTACTTAAATAAATGTTTTTTTGAGTTTACATAGAAGTTATAGTCATCATGACGTTATAGTTTTCGGATTATAAATAATCAAAATTAATGAAGTATATTCAAAAATTACATTCAAAATCTATGATGTATTTATACACATGTCGGTATGTCATTTGTTATTGATTTTACAGTTTAAATATTTATTTTTAATGCTCAGTTAATTTTATCTTCTGATTTCTTTTAGAATGAAGTATTACACATATTGTATTAGTTAATTAATATTAATAAATTTGTTATTAATAACAAATTAAGTAATAAATATATGCAAATCACTCAACTTAATTCTCTTTTTATAAAAGTTTATATGATTGTTCAATTATTTTACTTAAAAAGAATTATTAAATCTTAAATTTAAAGAATAAAATTTATATTTTTATTTTGATGAAAAACTAAAAATTAATTTATTGTCTCTTTTATAAATTTCTGTAAATATTTCGAGAGAAATGAATTCATATAATTATAATTAGAGTAAATAATTACATTGCCACATTGTGTTTGATTTAATATTTTCTTTATTTTATTAAAAATCACGACTTCTGATTAATTAAAATTACACGACTTTACACCTTTCGATAAAAATTTGAAAAAAGATAGTAATATAGTAAATTTACTTATAAATACTTTTCTCAAGAGACTAAATTTATTCATCAAATACATCATAGATTTAAATATTTATTTAAATTAAATATAGATTTAAATATATTATTTATTATCGTAACGTTGCGTTTGCAAGGTAATTGTGCATTCGCGCGATAAATCTCGCGTAGATAGATAGCGGCATGAGACGCTTTGTGTGTTGCTGCGTTATTATCCTTTGAGACACTATCGCGATAAGTACTGTGAGAGAACACAATCATTTTTTACGGGCAGCTATATCGGATGTTCCATAACTCTTAATTAACATTTCAAGGAATGAAAAAGAATAAAATTTTGAACTGAAAACTTTCTCAATTTTGGCCCAGACCACTATTCATTTACCATTATTTATTATTCATTTACTTATTTATTAATATGAAAAATTTGAATCAAATTTTAATTGAGAGAATGTAAGCACGAGGAGCCCTATGCATGCTACGTTATTGCGTACTTTTTTTGGACGCAATCTGATCGATCAACTTTATTCGTTAATAACTCTGTAAATAATGGTACGAGCCATAATTGGGAAATGAATTTTTAGTTTAAAATTTCATTTTGCTTCACTCCTCGAAATATCAATGAAGTTACTTGAGAGCTGACAAAAATCATGTGATTAATTTATTTAAAAGGCTTTAAAATTAAAATCAAAGATAGAAATGATATTTTCGGTCAATAGTGTTTATTTTCTCGGCAATATTTGAATATATTATATCTTGCGTCGTATTTTTA